CAAGGTGGAAACCCGGTCCCGAGCTCAGATTGGATCGTGGCCATCCGAAGCGGCTGGATCCGAAGTTGGATCGGATCGCTGCCGACTCACACAGGCCTACTGGGCAGGGCTGGGTGTCTCCTCTCCTGGTGTCCCAAGTTAAGAGGGAAGGCAGAGCTAGTTTGACCCCAAAGGAGAGGGGGCAGCAGGCGGGCAGCAGGCTCAGCTTCCAGGTGGCAGGGGAGATGGGCTCTACCTTGGAGCAGAGCCGGCTCTGGGGGTGCTGCAGCCCTCCCACCTGCTTCCACGCTGCAGGGCCTCAGAAGGCAGCAGGGTCTGGGCCTGTGATCAGCCAGTTCCTGTCCTGCCAGCGTTAACCAGCATTGCTCTCACATGGGGTGGTGGCTTGCTAGGGAGGAGCAACTGAGTCCTACCCTGCCTAGCTGCCCAGTACTCCTTCCCCATCCCAAGGGTGCCCTCCCTATGTTCAGTGCGGTGCCACCCCTCATAGCAAGGGAGTGCTGGCTTTTGGCAGGGCCTTGGCCATGCGGCCGGGGCAGCACTCACGGCTCCTGAAGCAGCTCACGTTACCTTCAATTTCTTCTCTTGAGATAAGTCCCGACAGCACTGAGAGGGATACAAAGCCCGGGGGTGAGTGAGAATGAAGGTATTGGAGCGGGGGACCACTACCCAGTGCTCACCCTGAGCCCACTATGCACAGGGCTCTGTGCGCTTCCCCTTGCTTGCCCGGGGATGCACCCAGAGGCCCACTGGTGACAGGTACGCCCCAGAGCTGCCTGACATGCCTGAGCCAGCCCCAACACAGAAATTTTCAGCTCTAATAAGCTGCCGGAGCTCCATCACGACCTGGCTGTTTGGGCTGAAGAGTTGGGTGTGCAGCACCAAGCCCTCTGTGTGAGGGTTTTATGGGGCTGTCTGAACCCAACCAGTGCCCTTTGGCCCAGAGTCCCCATGCCGGGGTGAGCAGTGGAGGGGCCAGCCTGCCCTTCCCACAGAACAGGACAAAGAACGGGCCTTGGGAGTAAGGCCGGCCTGAGACAGACTCACGGCCCCGGTGCCAGAGCCCAGGCCTTGGCTCAGGTCTGGGAGCATGCGGGTCTCAGGGCACAGAGAGCAGATCAACTCCTCTCGACCCATCCCTTCTTGTGCAGTGCTGTGGAGCAAGGCCTTGCCCAGACTGTCCAAGTATCACAGCAATGGGGTCCCAGGCCACCTCCAGGATCAGGGGTGCCCTTCACTTGCCACCCCAGGCGGTAGCTGCCCACAGCCAGCTCCTGACAACATTACTCCACACTCTAGCATCTTTTCTGTACGTGACCGTTTACTCTTCTCCCTCCAGCTCCCTGCACCCAGAACTAACCCCACTCCCTAAATGCCCAACCTGGTCCTGGGACCTAACACTTGCCCGCCCAGTCCAGCTCTCCTGCCCCCAGTGCCTCACCTGCCCCCCTCTCAGCTCTCCTGCCTCCCAGTTACCGCCTGGTGAACCTGCCCCCCTCACACTTGCTCAGGCTTTCTGGGGTGGGGGATCATTTTGTTTATTGCAGGGGGTACTGGTGCCACAACCCTCCCACACAACTACCTGCCCTCTGCCCACACAACACGCCTGGCAAGCACCATGCCCACCTCACATGGTGCCCTCTTGTGACCCTGAGTGTCTGTGTGTACAGGAGGGGGCTTGCAGGCAAGGAGGGCCCATGCAGCTGGGATCACTGGGTCCAGAGAGGGGCTTGCACTGGACACAGGCCAGGCAGGCAGCTCACCTTCTGCACTGAGCAGGAAGTCAGTGGAGTCAGTGCCATACTCATTCT